TGGTCGTGCCATTTCAGTAGTTGGGATTCTTTTTATTTCTTCTGTTTGTTCTGTAGCTCCGCATGCTTGAACTGAAAATGTGATTTGCTAAATTCTTTAGGCTAGAAGTGCCACAGCATAGAACAAACTATAACAGCCTGAGCACACACAGTCATTTCTGCTGTAACAAAGAGATTATAAAGAATTCGATCAAATTAATGGTTATACTATCTTGGAACTCAGGACAGAAAACAGCTTTTACCACTCTTTCTTGTTATCTGTTTCAATGTTAAGAAAGTATCAACCTTGACAAACCCTGGTTAAAGCTGGCATTTATCCTGACCACCGTGTTGCAGAAATCTGCTCTAACAGACCATAAACACCAGTTTATTTCACTAATGGCTTCTCTTGCTGCTAATCACCCTCGTTCTCTGTATTCACACAAAAAAGGAACTCTGTTTTCTGTTGTTCTCCTTGCCTGTAGCTCTTGGGATGGTGGGCTGTGTGTAGGCCTTTACAAGGGGCCAAGTCACCTTTGCTTCAGGAGTTAATAAGGTTAAAAGTAAAACCGTACAATTTGTGACTCTTCAGAGTGAGTTCAGTTCTCTTGGAATGGCTTTGGTCAGAAAAGCAGGATCAGGTTTGTTAAACCCAGCCACTGTTCTCTGCAAGGTTCCCATCAGATTTGCAGTGAAAACTTGCAGGACAGGATGCCATCAGCACTGGTTCATGGGCTTTTAGCTGTCAAAAAATTCCACTGAAATCAGAAGGTCTGAAAGTGAGCAAATCTAGTGGATGGTGAATGCATCAAAACTGACCTGTGTGGGCCCAATTCAGTGAGCCAGAGTGGGATTTCCTTGTGCCTCGCAGGTTTGAGTTCAACACCGTGCTTTGTAAACAATAAATCAATGAAAGTTGTTTCTGTGAGTGCATAAAAGGGGTGAGAACTGTAATTTATTTTATGATAAATACTATTGCTGAGCAAACAGCAAATGTAGCTGTTAGAGACTTTTCTCAAATAAGTGATTTTACACTGCTGAGTGCCAGCTACCAATGTGGGAGTTGAGCTTTTAAAATGAAAAGACTGAATTCCTTTTGAAGGCTCTTCTGAATGCTGTTGACACTTGTGCATGTAAAGAATACAGAGTAATTTAATTCATTACTTTGCTTGAAGATAACATTTACGGTTGCGGCATTAACCTTGGTAGGTGTGCAGGCTGCTAGGATGGAGATTCTCAGCTGGGAATTTGTGAGGATGGAATATAATCCTTGTGGAGGTGTGTGGGGAAGGCTGGGTAGGGTGGATGTGGGGGGAAAAGGGCTTCAGGACCAGCCCTGTGTGTGACTGCAAGGACAAAGGGACGCTTTTGCCCTCGGCTACAGTTTGACACTCCACCAGATTCGGTCAGAATTATCTGTGCATGAGGAAGGGCAGAACTGTCGTTTTTATGGCATGCTGTATCCTTGGTTGCATTTTTTTTTTTGTAATTGACTGCGTATACCAGTGCTGTAATAGAGCTCTTAAATCGTGACCCCAGCCAAAACAGCATGCAAAGACTGGCACTGCTACTCGTGTCTGCTGTAAAGACCCCACTGTAAGGGCACACCTTAGGGCAGCGCTGCGCCTCTGCTTCTCCAGGATCTGGGGCTCGGTTTTCCTCGTTCCCTTTGCAGCTGTACGCATTAGAATTTCTTCATGTTGCTAGAATGTGCATCAATCCAGAATGTTCTTGGCTTTCACAACCCTTGGCTTCCTGCACTCGCTGCTGTGACCTCTACAGGTGCCTGAAGGTCCTGTGGTGGGCCCAGATGCCCGCACACACTTCTTTTCTGCATCAGAGCCTTTTTCTTTCCTCTGCAGCCAGCCCTCTCTCTCGGCTGGACTGAAGAATGGCCCTTCCTCTGCAAAAGCAAGGCACTTTTCTTCTCTTGGCCTGGGCTTTTTGTGCTCTGCTCTTAGGCTCTAGAGCCTTTCAGACCTTTGGCTGATACTTGATACCGGCGCTCCCTTATCTGGAGGAAAAGGAGGGATTTTATGGCTCTTTGAGCCCGGAAAGAAGTGAGCAGAATCAGCATCCTCTGGAGCTGCAGCCCTGTGTTGCAGAGGGATGCTCAGGCGCTGCTCCGGGAGGCGTGTGACACAATCCAGACATCTTTTACTGGCTCCGTATAACCTGAGGCATTCACACATAAATTCAACCTGAATACATAAGCTTATATAGAGAGGATCCTTAAACTATCCCAACTAAAAATATTTGTAAAATGCTGGGAAACTTTTTGCAATGCATTTGGATGCTCTCTTCCCTGTTACGAATGCGTGCTGGGGTCACTTGCACGTCTGTGCAGACATCTGAGATGTGATTTCCATATGTGGGTTAACAGGATGGAGGAGTTCTTTTGGGCCTGGAGCCTGAACAAAAAATACTGCTTCACAGCTAGGCTAAAGAGATGAAAGATGTTACTGTAGGTTTACCTGAACATGTCTGGGTCTCCTGGTTAGACCCTGAATGCTCTGAGTCCTTATTTGCCCAGAAAGCTGTTGTTCGACTCATTAAATAATATCTATTAATTCAGAACATCTTGTGCATGGTTTCTTTCCAGTGTAAGGACACACTGGCTTCTTCTGCATGAGAAAATACATATTCATCTATTTTCCATTATGGTCCAGAAGGTTTTTCAAAGGGCTGTTCGTGTTGCCCCCACCTTAAAACTGTGATGAAAAAATAATTTTCTATTTGTTTATTTTTTTTTATTACCTATCATAATCTTCTACTGCATTTCCCAAATGTTGTTGAAGACTCAGTCAGTATTCAGTGTCAGTTGAGCAAGTACACCTGTGTACCTCAGTAAGCATCTTTTGCAGAAAATACTTGCATAGAAAAATGGATTTTCATTGAGATAATCCAAAAAAAAAAAAAAAAGAAAAGAAAACCAACCAAATCCCAACTTTCTTTGCATCAGCAGAAGAAGGGAATTCCAGTATTTCACAGCTTTTACTGATAATGATCTGCTACAGATTATGAACAAAAAACAGACATCGTGGTGTTGGCAGATTGCAAAAGGACATGCTGGTTAAAGCTACTGCTTGTAGGAGAAGAGGGCAGTGTTTATGCAGCCATATGGCCCAGAGATGAGACAGGCAAAGTGTCTAGGAGAAGTACTATGTCTTCATATGTTGATGCAGAGCATTCTTTTAGCAGTGCCCTTTTGCTGGTACTTTCACAGTTGATTGTATGATGGAAGTATTTGCCCATGATTTAGTATGGTGATAGAATTTATTGCCTAATTATTATATCCATTTGTGTGAACCACATGGTTATGGCTCTATGTCCAGGTGGAGGCCGGTAACAAGTGGTGTCCCCCAAGGGTCTGTCTTGGGACCGGTGCTCTTTAACATCTTTATTAATGACATCGATGAGGGAATTGAGTGCACCCTCAGCAAGTTTGCTGACGACACCAAGCTGAGTGGTGCGGTTGATACGGTGGAAGGAAGGGATGCCATGCAGAGGGACCTCGACAGGCTGGAGGGCTGGGCTCGGGTGAACCTGATGAGGTTCAACACGGCAAAGTGCAAGGTTTTGCATTTGGGCCGGAAGAACCCCAGGCACCCGTACAGGCTGGGAGGAGTGGGCCTTGAGAGCAGCTCGGCAGAGAAGGACCTGGGGGTCCTGATGGACGAGAGACTGAACATGAGCCAGCAGTGCGCTCTGGCAGCTCGAAAGGCAAATGGGATCCTGGGCTCCATCAGGAGAGGGGTGGTCAGCAGGGACAGGGAGGTGATCGTCCCTCTCTACTCGGCTCTTGTGAGGCCCCATCTGGAGTACTGTGTCCAGGTGTGGAGCCCTCAGTACAAGAAAGACATTGAGATTTTGGAAAGGGTCCAGAGGAGGGCGACTAAGATGATCAGGGGGCTGGAGCAGCTCCCCTATGAGGACAGGCTGAGGGAGTTGGGCTTGTTCAGCCTGGAGAAGAGAAGGCTGCGGGGTGACCTCATTGCAGCCTATCAATACCTGAAGGGAACCTACACCCACGAGGGGAGTAAACTCTTCAAAAGGGCTGACAACAGCAGGACTAGGGGAAATGGATCCAAGTTGAAGGAGGGAAGATTTAGGTTGGATGTTAGGGGGAAGTTCTATACAAGGAGAGTGGTTAGGCCCTGGAACGGGCTGCCCAGGGAGGTTGTGGATGCCCCGTCCTTGGATGTGTTCAAGGCCAGGTTGGACGGGGTCCTGGGCAACCTGATCTGAATGTGTGTGTTTGGTGGCCCTGCTAGGCAGGGGGGTTGGAACTACATGATCCTTGAGGTCCCTTCCAACCCGGGTGATTCTGTAATTCTGTGATTCTGTGAGCCAGTCTTAGAAATGCTGGAGTTTTTAAGGGGTTTTTAAGGAATGGTAGCTGGCACTTAACACACATGTACCTGATGGGTCCATTTTTCCTTAACGGTGTGGCTTTCAACCCTTTGAGTTTCCTATCCAAATTTGTAAAGTGCATTAAGAGCCAAAGTCTGAATTTAGTTCCTTAAATTTCTCCCAAAAAACTCTTTCTCCATACTTGAAATTTCTGACTCTATTTGACTTTTTCTGGCAGAAGAGCCAAGCAGAAGAGTAGCACACTGTGCATGTAGGGTCTCCACATATGCAGGCAGTTGACTGAAGACTCTTTGGCTTCTTCATAATAATCATTTTTGAAGCACTCTTACATCTACGAGAGGTGACACAGCTATTCTGCAGGAGGTTTGGGAATAAGATGTAATAAATATGCTCAGATATCAGGATGACGCTTCGTTGGAAAACTGGAACAGACAAAAGATTTGGAGATTTACAAACCAATCCACAGAGCTGAAATCCAACAGGATTTTACCAGCCGAAAGCTTAGCTGCTCAGTCTTTATGCTCTGTGCCCTTTAAAAAAATTACAATTGGTGTTGTTTGTATGAATGCCACAGTTGTACAATGCATGAACTCGTATTGCAGGTATTCTTCGTGTGATAACAGAACCTCTGCTCTCTTGTTCTCCCAGGGCTGATGAAATCGAGATGATCATGACAGACCTTGAAAGAGCAAATCAGGTAGGATTTAAAATTAGTTTCTCACATTCTAAGTATGACTTTGATTTATTTTTTTTTCCTTCCTCTTTAGAATTTCATGACAGTTCTTTTATATGCAATTAGCAGTCATTACTGCACAGTAAGAAAGTACTTAAATTTAGAGAGGAATTCAGATCTTTGGGAATAGTCTCAATTCCATACACGGAGTGGCTGTGTAAGGTGATGAGGAAGATGCGTGTGGACATGCAGATTCCCAGGTGGTGTATGAAAAAGGTAATGGTTTCATAGAGAGGAACGTCAGCCAGGCATTTCTTTGTCAGTGAGCTTCATTAATCCATCTGTCAGGTAAGATCAGAGATTGCAGATCATAAGTTGCTCAGGTCATGAGTTTATAATCCAATTTAAACGTACGCAAGAGCAGCTTGCATTCAGTTGCACAGAAGGGGGGATGCGCAGTGGTGGGCTGGGAGGAGGATTGTCCCCTTTCAGATAAATAAACCAGTCATGAATCTCAGCCTCAGTCCTTTTATTGCCAACCACAGTCTGCTTGATGTCTTGTTACACGGGACTGGATAATCACAGCAAGTGCATTGTATTTTATATTAGTTCTATATGCACTGGAAAGATGTTAATAAAGTAGAAGGCAGATTTGTAAGTTGCTGGTTTGATGATATAGTCAGTGAAGGAAAATTGGGTTTTGCACAGTGGGTTTTTAGTTCTGTCAAAGAACTTTTGTAGACAGCATTAAATATTTATGAAAGTGCTAGTAATTATTTGAAAATCCATAGACTTTCTAGAAATTATGTAGGTTGTAAAAGATGTTTTGGTAGAATTATTTTGTAATTCTTGCGAAGGCAGTTTGTCTTTCAAAGTTGTAGCAGTTATTTACCCAGTAGGTTTGTTCTTCAAGTAGAAAAGTTGTTGTAATTAAGGAACAGGTATTTCTTATTTCCTGCTTGCCACACTAAAATGGAAGATACCCATTTACATAAAAATGCTGGCAGTATTTTCCTATCTTACTGGAACAAACTTGCAGTGGTTTTTTTCTAAAGGTACTTGGATTTTTTTTATGTCACTGTTTATAACCTCTTATGTGCATGATCCTTATTGTGGTTATAATTAAGCAGACTCTGGGTCTGTTCATAAACAGTGTGCAGTTCCATGAGGTGCTGTCATGCAGCAGAGGTGATTCTGTCTCTTCTTTCCTCTTTCCCTCCCCACCTCTTCTTCCCCCTCGAGGCAGCCATGGTCCTTTCCCCCCAGAAATCACCCTTTGCAGTTGGAAATGTTTCATGAAAAACACGGAGCTCACTTACTGCAGAAGAGCAGGAATTTGGGGTGAGGGGACCAAGTTTGTTTTGGTTTTGTGAGTTTGGGAGTTGGTGCAACTCAGCAAAGCATGGGACAAGGGGGGACAGGAGGAGATTGTGACCTTAGGGCAAGGAGGGAAGGGGAAGTGTTGATGAGCAGACCATCCCTGTAGTAATAGTGCAATGCTTTGTCTTTGTAAAACACTTTCAGAAATGATAACATTACAAATGAGTGATCTTTGTAGCAGCCTCACTTTACAGTTGGAAAAAAGCTGGAAGAAATTAAATCAAGTGCACAGACCAAAAAGTGAGTTTGCATCAGGCTGAAGTGTTACAATTGCAGAAACAAGTACTTAACATAATTATCTATTTAATAGTTAAATTAACATTTCCTTTTAATGTTTCAGTAAGTACTTATTCCCTATTATTATGGCTACCTTTAAAGAGTAATGCTCAGCATGACTTCTACTTTGAGGCTAAATAGATTGCCTTGCTGATTCTGATGCAGTGTTTTGCTGTTCTGGAATTAACACTGACCCAAACTCAGCTGGGATTCAGAGGAGAAATGTACAGAACTGCAAAATGCTTGTGACAAAAATGAGAAATATTTTTAAATGGCAGGTACTTCTTCAGGTTTCTGTGTTCTGTGTGATGGAAGCCAGGGGATCAGAGTGGGTGTAATTCCCACCTTCTTGTTCTGTTGAATAGAGCATGGCTGCTGCATGAACCACTCTCCTCCATCTTTAGACTCTATCACCTCTCTTCTCCCACTGTTTTTTCTTCATTTGGATCCTTAAATTGTTTCATGCAGAAGCTTTATTGGCTTGTTTGTGTGTTATCACAGCACTCTCATTTCCCAGAAGAAATTACTAGATCATAGACATAATGACCTTTAAATACTTTGCAATATTCTGCTTAGAAAGAAAAAGAGGTAGGACCAAGTGGCCACAAAATTCAGTTTGTCTTCATCAACTCCAGGCATAAATGGAGCTTTGTCGCCAGCTGTACCTCTAGTCAAAGAGGAACAGCTCTAAATCCCTGGCCTGAAGGAGCAAGCTGCCTGCTGGGGCTGAGGAGCATGGGGTGGCTGCCCTGATGCTGCAGGTAGCGATGTGGTGGCAGCACAGCTGCTCAGATGACAGTTTTCCATCAGCTGCTAATCCAGGCACTCAGTGTGGGTAATCCAAGACCTTGAGTGGTGTTTTGCAGCTGAGATGGTCTCGCTCAGGCTGGCAAAGCTCAGAGAGGGTAACTGAAGTATTGCAGCTTGCCCTGTTTTGGACAGACGTGTTCTGGCAGGAGCGTGGATGTCACTGGTGGTCTGCTTCAACCTCTTGAGAGATGTAAATCAATACAGAAAAGGATGAGATTAGTGCATAAAAATGGCAGATTCTACTGTATCTCCCTTAAGAGCAGTGATGACAGAGCTCCTAACAGGGAGGTGTAGCAGGGGTGTAGGCGCTGAAGGTTTGCATCCAGCAGCCCCCTCGTGTTGAGCAGTAGGATGCTGCTGCACCATCTGCACAGCAGCAGCTGGGTGTGCGTGAGCTCTCTTTCTCTCACAGTCCCTGAGGTTGTACAACTTGGGCCCATAAGAGATTGAAGTCAGAATATAACAAAATGCAGGAGGCATTGCTTATTTCCACGTTAGAATCCAACCAGCTCGATGGTGAAAATAACCTGAGAGTTCACCCTCACATTTCCATGAAGATTTAATAATCCTGTAGATTGAGGAAGGGACTCATTTTATTAAGATTTCATTTTGCACAATAAATCACTGCATATTTTCTGATATGCTACGAAGTATAATAATAAATAATTAAAGCAAAACTACCCTTACTTGTCAAAATAAATGATTTATCATAGTTTGGGATGTAGCATCTTTGAATTTTTTATTGTTTGATTCCCAGAATATTACTGTTTCCAATCAGTGAAGTTAATGAAGCTCCAGTGTGCTTTTCTGCGTGTACAACAGTTACAGTTACATGAATGTATATTTTATGTAAATATTTATGGTTAGTCCTGTTCTGTACCTTTTCAAGTTTACACCTTTCTTGTAAGTGTTTATGGCAGTAAGTCACAAATATTTGGGATGACGAATTTATTCAAATGAGTTATCCTTCTGTTCCTGTATTTTATCTGGCAACCCAAAGTCATCCAGTTGTGCATGGGAAGCGCCGAGGCTTCTGTTCAAAACCATCCCTTGCGTGTTGCAAAAACAGAAACACGTTGGAGTGTCTCATTTAAGAAGTGGGAGGAGAAGGCTCCATGTAAGCTTTTAGCATTGAGGCTAGGTTTGTCGTTTCATGGCATCGATGTGTCCACATCTGCTGGCTTTGTACACTCCCTTCTCATTGTTAAGAAAAGAAAGGAAGTGCTTTTTCACTTCTGAAAGATAAAGAGAAGGACTTCAGCTGGCTTGGTTGACACTCGATGATTATATTTTAATCTTTAGGAGGAAATAGACTTGAAAGGTCTCCGATAAAGGTGTCCATAGACTTTGAGAGTAATAATAGAAAAGTACATAGGATTTTTTTTCCTGCAGACTTTATTGCAAAAGCTATAGAAAAGTAATTAAACCTGTTTTTTTCTTCTGTGTCTATGCCATGTTATCCCTTTGGAAAAAGCAAAGCGTTTCCATTGGTTTTCTTCCCATCTTTGCAGTGCTGAATGCATTCCCAGATTTCTTCGGCTTTTTTTTCCGAGGGAAAGAAAATAAAATATAGAAACTTCTGTTATCAATAAAACAGCAGCTCCTTCTCAAACACATCGCCACTTATGAAAGAATCTGGACTAGGTCAGTCCTGTGTATCCCAAGGAAGTGCAGTGTTAGATTTTCTAACACTGTTTCTAACTGTTTGTTAGATCTACAAAGCCAGGACTAATAAGTTTTAACACTTTTTGTGTCAAACTACCACTGAAATAAATAAAGCAGTGTGTGCTGTTGAAGTACGAACAAAGCCTCACTTGGTCATCATAGCAAGAAAGCTCTTCTCAGGTACTTTTATTTTCTATGTCATTGGTTACAGTACCTTCCTATCTCTAGCACATCGCATTGGAAAAAGGTTTGAAAAGATATTCCCACTAAGTGAGATTGCTATAAAATATGTATGTTTTCAAGCGGCAGATGGAATAATTTCTCCTCTTTCACTTAGCAACACAAATGCAACAGGATATAGGTGTAAGTGCTGCTCTGAACCACCAGTGGTAGCAAACCCAGTGACAAGCCAGTTCTCCTTGTTGGATTGCCATGAAGATGGCTATTCATCTTGACACGCTTCTTTCATTTGCACCAGTGCTGGCACACGTCCTGCCAGAGGACCAGAGCTTTTTGTTTCTGAGTGCCTGTGCTGTGAGCTGCCGCGCTGTGCCATGGCTCCCCTGGCCTTGGGAAGCGATGCCATTTTATGGCCGATGAGGTCATGCACTTAACACTGTGATTTAATTTCACTGTCTGTAAAATGGGAACAATAACATTTACTTTATAAAGTGCGTGGAGATCCTTGCATGGAAAAGGGCTGTGTGAAGGCAAAATACGGTTAATATTATTTTCATACAAACACAGGAGTTTCCTGTAAATGCTTGGCTTTCAGTCGGGAATACATTTATCTGGCAGCCTTTCAAGGTGGAAAGAAAAGCACAATAGCCTGGAGACAAGAACGAAGACAACCCAACCTCTTCTGTTTATTGGGTATTTTTTCTTTTTCATGTAATTCTCCTTTGCTGGGAAAAAAAAAAAATAGGTGCCAGAGTCCTGGAGAGTCTTTCATGTCACCGATTTTCTGATAACCTTACTGGTGCTTTGTGAAAGCTGGTGGGGTGGCTTAAAGGTCTCAGAATGAATTTGTTTATCACAAAAGTTAGGCAGAGTTGAAATCACCTTGAAGCAGTGTGCTGTACGTGATCTGCACCGCCGGGAACACGGCTTTTGTGGCAGCTTGAAAGGCAGGCAGCGTGAGCTGGAAGTGCTTACACCAGGTGTGATGGTTGCTGCCATAACCAGGCCTGTTAACTTCAGCAGATTTACTTGTGATAACGGGCGTTCCTGGCCCATAGAAGGATTTTTGTATAGCCCTGGATTTAGCAAGTAAAAAGAAAGACCAGCTTGGCTCATGGAATTTTAAGGGAAAGGTGATACTTCTTGCTTTTATCTCATTTCCCCATTCACACCACTGCTCCTCGATCAAATGAACATTTTACTGCCAGTAGAAGAGCACTCAGTTCTTCTTGTTATCTTGTCAAGGAACAATGAGAATAATGTGTACTGGATATGTTGTGTTAGGCTTTTAGTTGTTTGCAGGTGGAAAGCACACAGCAACGTTCTGATTGTGACCTGCTGGCTTCCTGTGAAGGGTACAAAACTTACATACTGTATGAAGGAGAACGAACATATTTGGATCTATTATGGTACCAAGGAGAAAACTGTGCTCGAAAACAAGTGGTATAGGAGTGAGGAGGCATTGTTTGGCTGCTGTATACAGAAAAAAGGGCTTTTTTTTTAGGATGTGCTGAATTTGAATGGTCTTTTCCAAGGCCGTTGGTGTGACTGTCATGGGCATCGAGGCTCTTCTACGTCACAGATAGGAAGTGACAGCGCAAGAGTTGTAGCGCTTTGCTATGGAATGCCTACTTCTCAGCTAAAACAGGGTATTTTCACACAAAAAAAAGGTTCTGTGAACTTTCCAGCGGTTCCAAGTTGTGCAAGATTGCTGTTTTATCCATTTTCCATACTGGGCGTCTGTCTCTGGCTGCATACTGTTAAATTCAGGAAAAATTGTCCAACCATTTCTAAGAACAAGATTAGGGGGGAAAAAAAATCCCCGTTTTCCCACATGTTAGGAGTTGTTCTTTCTCTTCTGGTGAGGAGCCTGCTGTGCCCAGATTTAAGGGCAGGAGCTTGGCACTCCGTGAGGGAGGCTTTGCCTTTTTCTCAGGGTTATATCTTCTCATTGCTTCAAGTAGCAAAGTAGGAAAAAAAAGAAAAACCACCAACCCCAACTTTGGCCAGCCTATGAGTGTCTGAGAAGAGCTGAGTTCACACAAACCCAACAGGATCTGGTTTGAATTTGTGGGCTTTGATGTCCGTGTCTGTCCCAAGCATGCTGCTGTCTAACTGTGCGGCCGGGTGAACATTAACCAGCCAGGCTGTGCTGCTGGGTGCGGGGAATGGTGCCACTTTGACGTGGGGCACTGGGAGGGGGAACTGGAAATGTTGGGGTGGGAGCTGGAGGTGGAGAAGAGGCTGTGGGGAGGAGGAAAGGAGCAGAACGGCGCTGCTTTGGGGAAGGCTGGAGGAGAACCAACGAGGGAAAGCAGGAGGTCATCAGGGTAAGGCGAATTCTGGAAGTCTGTATCTATTTGTTAGGTTTCTGAGGCAAGAGCTTGCTTTCACCAGCTTGGAGCTAATGGCACCATTAAGCTCACACAAGATGGAAATTCCACAGTGACTTCAAAAGAGGACAAAATAACAAGCAGAAGGGCTGGGAATCTGAGGGGCAGGGTGAGGATTGCAGAGCCCCATTGTGCTCGGCAGGCGGACGGCAGTGCAGCTGATGGCTGGGGGAGAGAAGGGGTGAGAATGGAGGAGCCAGCACTGGCACGGCCGTGCCAAGGACCGGTGGGAGGCATGTTGGGGTCTGGGCAGTGTGGGTGGCTCAACACGGGGCTTTGCATGTGTGTTCAGGAATGTTTGCATAGCCCTTCAGTGCCATGGCAGGAAAGAGAAGGGTGAAGCCTGAGAGGAAGCGATTAATTCCATCTTTGGAGTGGAGTAGGATTAGTTAGCAGTAAATAAGCCACAGAGGTCACATGCTGAACGAGAACAAAACAAAACACTCATTCGCTGAGCAGTATTCGTGCTGCAGGTTGCATCAAGTAGCAGGGCTCACTGGAGCACAGAGGTAGCACGTTAGTGGGGAGTTACTGTGTGCACAGCCCTGAGCTCGGGGGAGGCTGAGCACAGCAGTGCTGAGCTGGGCTTTCAGAACTTCTAAGTGCTCCATTTTGAAACCATAATGTTCTTTTAACAGGTTTTTGTGTGTAATTTATAATTCATATTGCAATAGCACCCAAAAGTGCTTTTGAGAGGCATTGAACACATCTATAATTCTGGCTCTAAAGAACCTACATTCTGGGAGAAAAAAGGGAAAAATGGACCCATATTTCCCGAACAGAATGGCCCAGAGTTTCTGTTGATGTATTTTTAACAATGCAGAGTATGAAATGTTGTCTAATATTATTCGTAGGATTTCAACAGGTGTTCTGAGTTGGCTGGGGAGGCTCTGCAGAAATGGCAGCTGACAGCTTACTGTACATGCAGACGTAACATCTATTAGAAATATCCTCTGTGGTTCACTTGCATGCAGGCTGAATAGATTCTCAAGACAATGCTGTTATGAATGGAAACCATCAGCAGAATTGCTTAAGGCTGCAAAACCCATTACTTACACAGCACTGGATGCAAGGTCCGTGGTGTAGTACCTTGTCTTCCTTTGCTGTAGCTGCTTAGCAGTTATTCAGTCAATATATTCACCTCCATATCTAATGAAATGCAAGAAAATAATTAATCTCAATCCTTATTGTTAGCTCAGTTTTTCATCCTAATACCATCCAGCTGCACAAACAACAGAAACTTTCTCTTTTTGGATCTTTCTTGTTAATGCTGCTACCATTTTATTCATGCACACAATGGGTTGCATCCCGTGCTCTGATTAATAGAGCCCTGTTACTGTACTTTTTACAATTGCATTTTAATTACAGCTGTAGAACCTATGCAAAATCATTTAATGTAATGTTGTGAGCAAATAGCACAGATGATGTAGTTAGTATTTGATTGCAGTTAGTTTACTGATTGATTAAACACAAAGCAGCAGAGTCTGCTTTGACTGGTGACTGAAAGACCATGCACACACAGTGGGCATATAGGATCTTATGATGTTCAAATCATGTGTTTTAAATGAAGGACGTGGTTGAGTGGCATGGTGATGATGGGTTGATGGTTGAGCTTGATTATCTTAGAGGTCTTTTCCATCCTTAATGATTCCACGATTCTCTGATTTAGGTTTTCAAAAGGAGGAGCTGAAAAAGAGAGGAGTGTAGAACACGGAAATACGGCAGCTAAAAAATGGAGACATGGATTTGTTATCCCACAAAGGGAGAGAGCCATCAGTGTGAAGGACAAAAGCTAGTCAGGAAAAGTTTTGGCTTTGACTGGTGGCAGTTTTGTGGTTTTGGAGAGGTTGGTTATGTCTTGGAAATGGAGGTAGCTGAGTGCAGTGTGATTTGCAAGGAGCAGCCCAGGTGAAAAGCAGTGATTATTTGAGGAGGAAAGCACTGTGTTTGGAAAAGAAAGAAGGAAGAAACTTGCCAGAAGGGGCGTACAGTGTAAAAACAGCCAGGTGCTGTTCCACTCTTCTTAAGAGAAGCTGATGTGCTCTTATGGGAAAGAGTTTGCTGCTATTTATTGCCTGATGTTACTGATCCATCTGTCTCTCCCGACTCTTGTACTGAGGGGCTTTGCTCATAGCTCTGCCTTTCTCCTTTCTATTATTATTCAATATTTATATGGCAATTTTGTCTGGTAGCCAAGTCCCAGGCTTATCAGATACTGCATAAATCCTCAGCAGTTGTAACTGATCTGTGCAGAATTGTCAGTGTAGGGTTAAATATTGTTGAATAAATCGACCTGCTGAAAGAACAGAATCAAACTATTCATGTTTGGGGAAATAATTACTGAGGAAAGACAGCCCACAACATTGTATGTGTGTTAGAGAGAATGGTCAGAATATCTTTTAATTCAGCATTTACCCGTGAGAATTGTTCCCATGAGGAACCTTGCAATAAAATCTGCTTGGTCTATGAGAATAGAAAGAAATTGAATAAAAAGACTCCATTTCCACTTGTATTTATTCAGTCTGGGAAATTCAGTGGGCCGCAGCATTAGTATCAGCAGGGGATTCCTTGCTCCTAGCGTTAAATTACTGTCATAATCGCTCAATTATTTCTTCCTTGTACTGTTTAAAATAAAAATCCATCACATTCTATGTTTTTTTCTAACATTTATTAGGTTGAGTGTTTAGGAAAATCAATTATATTCAGTCAGGCATGAATTGATGAATGTTCTTGTAATAATTGTCAGTTGTTAAACTGAATGTACTTTCTCTTTTCACCCCTTTTCATTTCCTTCAGAGGGCAGAGGTGGCTCAGAGAGAGGCAGAGACCTTAAGGGAGCAGCTCTCGTCAGCTAACAAATCTCTCCAACTCGCTACACAGATCCAGAAGGCACCTGATGTGGTGAGAGAAAATATTTACTGACTCTTACAGGTTTCTGACATTCCTGCCGTACAGCTCTTTCAATTTATGCTCACAGCTATAAAAATATCTGTTCAGAATAATATTTTAACTGAAATGGAATTGTGTTCCTTTGGGATTGCCGGTTTGTTAGACTTCTAAGGGGGGTTGGTAGCTGCAAAAGGCCTCGAGATGGACAGAAATGGCTCCGGTCTGTGCTGGCCAGCACACTGATCCACTGCTGCCAGTGCAGGCAGATAGCAACAACTCCTAGAAATCATTTCACGTTCATACAAGCATCAACTGTGGAAAAGTAAAGCAGCAGCACGATGTAACAGAGTGCTGTTAATGCTCTGCATGCCTCAAGGGGCTTCAACTGAGGGGCTGTAACCAATTTCACCCGAAGGGCATCAGTGGGTCCAGTTGGGTGAATGCAAAGACACGATTAAGGGAAATTGGGTCTAATTCTAAGCAAATTCAACAAACAAATCTTGCTCCTTATATCATCCTTTTCTTGGAAACCATGCATGATTTCAGAAAAGCATCCAGTTGCATTTAAATACATTTGCAGAAAATGAGTCAAATTATAAGTCCTCCAGATCTCTTTGGTCGCCTATTAACATGACCCAACGTTTTCTTAACGAAGTCAAAAGACAGAGAGGCAGACTGCAGAACAAAAAACACAAAGCCTGAATCTCTCTTGTAACTCTGAATTACCTGCCTCTTCCTATCTTATGTCCTAGTCTTATCATTATTTTAACATTAGGTCTTTCTTGTATTTAATAGTACTTCTGCACTTCATTTATATTTAATATGACAACTACTGCAGGATGAAAATGATCATTATCTATCTTATTTCAGACTCTACATTCTAGTCTCAATAGGCACAAGCAGCAGATGATTATACAACTTGTGATGTTTCATGCAAGCAAATTAGAGGGTTTTTTCAAGTTAAAAGTATAATTCAGTGTAATAGGAGAGCGTTGTTAACTGCTGCTCGTACATGCAGCTTTCTGCGAGACACGATGGTATGTAGTCCCTGAGAATCGAGCTCAGTGTTTAGGAGATACAGAAAAGGCATTTTGTTGTGCCTGTATTTTCCAGAAGAGAGGGGATGGAGTGAATTTCAGTCTGCCGCGATGTCATCTTGAATTGTAAGGAAAGTGCTTGGGTGACAGCGTCGGTGGGTTGAATTCTCAGCTCTTTCACCGTAGGATCTTCGATATAATGCTCACCATCATTGTTTCTCTCTTGGTAAATGGATTCATTCCTACTTCTCTGGTGTTTTGTGAGGAGCAGCCATTAACCTTTCTAAGATGCGCTTTAGGCTTTTTAATGGAATGTGTGTTCAACTTCAGGCTGCCTCGTGCTCGCTGGATCTGCCCAGGGGTTTCCTTGTGTTCCTCCTGGAAGAGAGGCTCAGAGCTCTCCAACGCATTATAGCTATTGATTTCTTAACACAAAAGGAGACAAAAGAGATGTTGCAATCAGCCTGTGCTAGCTTTTCTGAAAAGATCTACCTTCCTTCCTTCTTTGCTCTTTCTTATTTCTTGTCAGTCTAGCAAGGACGTTTCAGGCTTGAGGACAGAGTTGGCAGCCATGGAAAACTGAAGTAAAAAAAAGTTCTAATTTAGGGGATTTTTTTTAAGTGGAGTGCATAGGCAGAACAGCCTTGTCTTACAGGTGTCACGTGGATCTGCATCCCTATGGAGAAGAGGCTTCACTTGCCAGCAATAACACTGAATAATTGTCATGCAAGGAGCAAGTTCATTGGAAATAGCAGTTTGGGGCAATTTCTGACAATTTTGCCTGAAATGTGTGGCATACATATGAAGAGCCAAAGGCACACGTCTCTGCTATTCTTGATTAAGAAATTCTGCTCCATTACTTCAGAATATTTTATCTGATTAGTCTTTTGCTAGCACAGATTTTTATAGTTGTCAAAGCACTTGGACTATTAATAATAAATCTGAATTTGACTTTCGCAACTGCAGTTTTCCAGTACACTTGGGAAATAGGGAGATTTATTTGACCTGTTATCCCCGTTCTACCAAGGAGCTGTGCTGATAAAAAAGGTCCATTTTCCAGACCCATGCAGTCACAGGAGTACAGGCTCAGGAGTTGTTTCTGTCTCTCACACTGTCCCGTGCCGTGCTTGGGCCTTACCTACCTGCCCTGAGTTCAAGCTCATTCCTGCCTTTATTTATGTGGTCTCGTGGTTTTTTTTCACAACAGGAGCAGGCCATCGAGGTGCTGACACGGTCCAGCCTGGAAGTAGAACTGGCTGCGAAGGAGAGGGAGATTGCCCAGCTGGTAGAAGATGTCCAGAGACTACAGGGCAGCCTCACCAAGCTGCGGGAGAACTCCAGCAGCCAGATCTCCCAGCTGGAGCAGCAGCTGACCGCCAAGAACAGCACGCTTAAAGTAAGGCTGCGTTTGGGGCTGGGGCACACGGTTGACGTAGCAGTATTGGGTTTTACTGATGTAAGCTCTCTGGGATTACCAGAAAGCAGTGAAATGGCTGAGGTGAAAAGGCACAGAAAATCTTTTTTATGTTTTAAAACTCAGCTCCCATTCCAGTGCTTGGCATTGTAGATCTGCCATGGCTGTTTGTTGTGCTCTGGTTTATCTTTGAATTTACCTGCTACTGCCTCCATTTCTCCACCTATTGAAAAAGGAAGTGTACCATTTAGAGCATGAAGACAAGTGAAATTAAGACACAAAGGGAAGGCTTTTTAGTAAGCATTTAAAACTTTTTTCAGCTGTTATTTGCTGAGCAGTAATTCCCATTTATAATTAGCAGTGCAATCCTGTACTCATTTGCTACCAGTAGCACTGCGCTAAAACTAGAAGAGCACCAGTTTTGTGAGTGACCCCTTTACCTTTTTTCCAACAACTTTACTTTCTTTGTTGCACTGTCCTACCCAATGTTGATCTATCAGTAAGCATGAGAAGTGTTTCCTGACATCTGTTATGAATCAGTTTCCTCTTAACTCCTGTCTCTTTCATTGTTCTACCATCTTCAAGCTTCAGACTGTAAACAAGATAAATTTATCTATTCCATTAAATACTGCATAGTTTTGTAGGTTTTATAGTCAGAGAGTTTTTTGAAAGCAGGAGGCTGATGGTACCCACTTAGCTCTAACTGTGGCGTGGGTAGCTTTCCTCTATCAGAATGATTTAATGCTCAATTGAAACTCTTACAAATTGTTCTAATTCTGACATTTCATAGAGGCTGCTCGTTTTGCTCCGGTGCAGTGTAATTTATGTGGGGTGAAATAGCTGCTAGGGGTGAAAGAGTGATGCAGTCAGTGAGCTTTCTACGTTCTGCGTGTTTTAAGATAGCTTTGGAGAATTGTTGTGAAAATTCAGTAGAGCCAAAGAAGTCTGCTGGGTTCCTGCATTGCTGGGATCAGTCTCTGCCCATCTGTTGTACATGTGGGCGCCACTGAGTGCAGGAGAAAGGAGCTGACCTGGAACTGAGGAACAGATATTGCTGGCCAACCCATGCTATCAGGCTTTTTAATTTTTTCGTAAAACCTGATAGAAAGTATCTTGAATCTTTGCACGTGGCAGATTGTCTTGAAATAGAGCAAGTTCCTGTTCAGGTCAGTATCAGTTTAGCCATTAACTTCAAAGGGAATGGGATCACAGAAATGACAAAGCAAGTCTTTGATTTGCATTTTGGTAATCTTCCATTTTCCCAGCCTTGCCCAGCTGATGCTCTGTATTTAGGATCCCATTCATTATGCATTGACACTATTTCAACCTTCTTTAACCTTATTTGTTACACTATAAAAAATATTTGAACTGCTTTTTTTTTTCCCCAAAGTGCTGGGAAGGCCTGCGTCTGAGGTCTGTCATACAAAGAGCCAAAACTCAGTGGTGATGTGTTGATCTCATGTTTGATTGTAGAGGGATTGCTTCTAGAATAGCTGAGATGGCAGTGGGTGCCTCCACAACTAACGAATCACTGTTTCACAAATTAAAGCAATGTTCTCAGACCGTATCTTGGGGGAATCCTTTAATGCTCTATGACTTAATGAAACAATACAGAAATGCTTCCAAAATTATTGCTTCTTTATCTTCATCTGATCTAATAATCAAAATATGTCCTCTAGTAACAAGACTCTTCTAGCTGTAATTATGTTAACTCTTCATTGCTGGGAGTTAGAGCTTCCCTGCCACCCAGATAAAACACAGCAGTGCCAGTCAGCAAAGATACATCAAGTAACCTTGGTTAATTGGTCTTTTTTATTTATCACTCTAGACTAAACTAAGACATCAGCCTTTTTTTTTTTTTTTTTTTTTGGATGTTTTAAGTCCTTCAGTAAAGTCCATGCTATTTCACCTGGGACACTTTAGTTAACAATGTGATAAGGGTTATTTGATCGTTAGAATAAGAGGGGACGCAGTATGTGCATGCCCTGATGGGTTCATTCATACAACAAATGCAGCGTGATTCCTTAACTTGGGTGCTTGCAGATGTGCTGTACAGAAATGCCACCATTCCTTTTGTCCTCTGGCTCAATGCATTTTCTTGTGCTGGAGGATGTTAGAATATATTTTGTCTGAATTAACCAGGTTGATATTTAGTGCAAGATATTAGTTCCTCCAGATTGTCTCACAGCTTGAGCCTTTGTTATGCTATGTTCTGTGCATTTTACAGGGTTCTTCAAGACAATTACCATACTAATACATTTTAAAGCAGTCATTGACTGGGAAGATGCCAAGTGCCTAAATGGTCTGCTTATATATGGGCACTGCATTCCCGGGTGTTGGTTTGTATTGTTTAGTGAAAGTATACATTTAGGTGCAGATTTTCCATGGCAACAGTCTCTGTATTAGGTACTTGGGAATGATGGATGTATGTGTTTTTTATACAATTCAAAGTAAAATATTGCTGCTTGTCATACTGCTATAACAGCATAAAAGTGGTCTTATGCCCCGAGAGTCCAAACCAGCTTCATTCTATCAGCATCTTTTTTTTTTTTAATATGTTTTCATGCCTAAAATTTCCTGACAGAGTTACTGAATATGACAGATCCCCATACAGAATTACATTTCATATTGGTTGCGTTAAAATGGAAATCAGTCGTTTTTCTGTATTTTATGTGTTTGTGCAGAAGGCTTTTTTCTTACTGTACCCTTGCCTAAGTAACTAACATCTTATCTGACAGCACTGATTGTTTTATATGCACTCCAGTGTTCCTTCTACCGAGGACTAGCATGATTAGCCAGTTAACCCTGCTGTTAGAGCTGCTCTAGACTCCAAAATAAGATGCTGCCTTAAGAGGCACAGAGGTAAGGGGCAGAATGGCTCCAAGGTTCCCACTTCCCACAGTGGCTGCCCCAGCCCTGCTCTTGGTGTACCCAGATCCGCTCTGCTGCAGGACTTTGTGGAGCTGCACTTCAAAGCAGTTTGCTAACAGTGCTCCAGGTTCACGTTAGCCCTCACCCAGCACCCCCTGCGTGCAGACAAGCAGGCTGGGAGCTGTGCAGGATCTTCCCAAATTCACATCTCCACCAAAGGCAGCCCCACAGCCCTGTTCTTTGTCATGTCGTTCTTTCCTTTCCCTCTGAAGTAGATGCTCTTTCATTGAGGGTGATGCATCGTGTCATTTCTTTGGGATTCTGTGCCAATGTTGGTACCAGAAATTCAGCGAGGTAGAGCTAGCCTGAACTGAACCACGGACATTGCAAGGCAATAAACTCTGTTCTTTCTCTGCTTAGATATCAGGGGCATCTGTACTAAGCAAAGAAATCATTAGTGGGAAATTAATGTGGCTTCTACAAGCAGCATAACCAGCATCAATTATGTATCACTATGTTTTAGGCCTCCTGAAGCGTTCATCCTCTAGTGATGAGCACTGTTGTTGGGAGCAGGGGCTTTGGGGTAAGGTCCAAATGTGTGGCGTTGCATTCTGGATTGTGTTAGGAGGTTTGCTTCAGCATTTGTGGCATCTTCACATTGAGGAGAAGCCACTGAGACTGCCCTACGTCAGGCAGACCTGAGCCAGGAGCCAGGTGGTCTCAGTGCTTCACCTCTGCTGTGTAACTGTATTAGTTACTGCAATATGTAATGCTTCTTCAGCCTTCTTTTCATCTGGATAAGGCTACCAGGGGCTGTCATGTCAAGAATACAGGATGTGTCAAAGCATCCTGCTTGTTTACTCTGTTCTTGTAAAAATCTCACCTGCCCCATTTTTAATGTCTTCTTCACCGATCTCTTTATTGAACATATCACAGCCACATTACAAACAGCCAAACTGGGACCTACTGAATTCTGTAACACTTGGCACCCTGTAAATAAAGGAACAGTGAGGTATAATTGTGTTTATGTTGAATTGGTTATAGTTTGTTTCCTAATATATGTAAATTAGGTATGAGTCATTAACCTTCACTTGTGCGCTGCTGTATATATGGAATAATTTAAAGATGATTTTGAAAGCCTGCAGAAGAAAATCTAAACTAAATTCATGTTCTTTCTTTTAAAGCAACTGGAAGAAAAACTGAAAGGACAGGCTGATTATGAAGAGGTTAAGAAAGAATTAAAGTAAGTGTTAAACGCTCACATAATTTTTTCACAAACTATTTTAACAATACTTGTTAAATAAAGCCACAAGTTTGTGTTCTTGGAACAATAAAGAATTCAGTCAAAACCACAAAGTCGGAGAAATAAGGAATATTGGCTGAAATGGCATCCAGAAGCAATGTGTCTGCTGCATCTGTGGGTATGCCTTCTTTGTTGTAGCAGAGTGTTGCATTGCAAATAATGCAGGTGTCCATGGAGAAAGGGCTCTGCAGTTATTATGCACCGAGGGTAAAAAGTTTGAAAATCTCTGGTATTTTAGGTGGACCACTTTCAAAATTCCCCAGCCAACAGTTTAATGTAGTGTGGACCAAGAATTTAATACATGGCCTTTGGCCATAATACCTTTTCTCTGCTTCTGCCAGCCAGAGTTCAGCACTTGCCATTTTCGTGCTGTGCTTGTTTCACTGTATATTTTTGCTAATATATTGTGGTTTTAAACTAAAGCCACAAACAGCCTCTTCCTATTTCAAGGGTGTTGGTTTTTTTTGAGAGAGACTTAAAAGAGCCTCATTTTAAACTACAACCAGATAAGCTGTCAGGTTCAGAAGAGTAGGTTCTTGACTAGGGGTATATTTAGTGTCAAGGTTTAAGTAACTGCAAGGAACTCCATCTCTTCTTTCATCGCTCTGGCATTTTTGTGTGTATTTTAAGAAGATTGAAAAAATGTTACCTTGTTTAATGAGGTATTTCAGATGAAGCTGGAGTCATGTGCTTTTGTTTACACATCCCTGGAGAATGTGGAAAGCAGGTTTGGTTTTGTACACCCAGTGACTTTCCAGACCTGGTGCCATTATATTAGAACCATGCTGGCTGCAGTTCTTGTTCAGTGCCAGCAGCAGCCTGTACAGGTGCAGGTGTGTAGTGTCAGTAAATGAGTTGACCATTTCTTTGATCACTATGAGTGAATGTTAACTGGTCTTAAAAAAAACTTCATCATTCTGCATGTGCTCATCATTTCAAGGTAAATCTGCAGTGAAATAGACTGGAGAATCTCTTGGAAGTGGCCCTTGTTGGATGCCAGCAAATTAAGTCCCCCTTTCCTGGCCTGTGATGAAGCATGTCTGCCATCTCACCACTTCAGTACCTTTTAGTGCTGTCGAATGCAGCCCTTCTTTTTTTCAGTGGAACTAAAGAAGTTTTCCTGATGCTTCTTGTTCTAGCTTTTATATCACTACATGTGTGGGTAATGTCTTTTATTTGGGCAGCGTGACTTAGGACAGACAGCTGCCAGTTAGTAGGTGGCCTGGGGCTCATGTCTGGACTGAGCTGGGGGCTACACCCTTGGCAAGAGCACTATTTGCAGTTTTACAGTGCTGCATCATCACAGCAGCTCATGCCTGCCAGCCCCTCTGGTCCCATCTGGTGCAAAAGATGTTTCAGAACCTGAAAGTGCATCCCTGACAGTCTGATCTGAAGTGAAACCACAAAAAGCGTATTGCTGTAAGTCTGGTGTCCCGTGCATTGCTGCAGTACCCTGAAGCACTGACAAGAACTAGCTGTTCATAATGCACATGTGTACCAAGTAAAAAGAATCCTGTCAGTAAGAATGTATTTCTCAATCCTTTGGGCACTGATCTCTGTTTTCCTTAATCCTCTCAGAGATGTTAGAGCTATTCTAGAGTAAGGGATCTCAAACATCAGCTGGCTTCCAGTGTTGGGGAAACTTAATGGGGTCCACATCAAGATCTGGAGTGGAAGAATTTCTTCCTTTCTGCACAGGCTTTTGTGCCAAATGGCTTTTAAAACTATTTTTGAGATCTGAGAGCTCTCTGTGTCCTTTCAGTTCCCTCTTGAGTAATACGACAGTGCTAACCTTCCTGCCTTTGCAGCCAAGATCATAAAAACAGAAAGTCGAACTGTCCCAATGCACATTTTGCTTTAGAGTAAGTCTTTCAAGTAGTCTTAGATGTGCAGATTGAAGTCACAAGATCATTCTTTTAAAAAGCAGATAACTGATCTTGATAAGCAGCAGACTGAGCTGAGATCTCATGGGCAAAGATATTCCCGGAATCCGAAGGGGAAACATTTTGCTTCCTCATATTCCTGAGAAAATGTCTCTTTCATGACACGTTTGGAGAGTCATTTTTAACATGTTTAAGGTGTACATGATTTGAAAAAATGAACCTGTTATACTGAGTATCCCTCCAAGGGCAATTCAAGATACCATCGACCTGATTTTTAATTCATTTTGCCTTCTCAGAGAAGGAAATTACCTGTGAAATTGCTAGTAGGCTATTTCAGGTAGCAGAAAAGCCACTTCAAACAGGCAGAGGTCACTGAGTCTCCAGCTGAGGTTGCTCATGCCTGTTCCAAGCTCAAGGCAAAATGCAGCTGCTGCAGGGTTCAGGGGCGTTGCTGGTCCCAGCTGGCAGAGAGTGCTGGGAGCCGAGAAGGAGCAGTAGGGCAGCCTGTGGAGGTGGTCAGCATGGCAGAACAGGGCTGTACAGCCCTGCTGTTAGTGCTGAGAACCCCTTGCAAACACTGAATACATTCAGGCTTACTTTGCACTCCAGACTGCTACCAGTCTGGTGCATAGCTGTGGGAGCACACTGCTTCTGGCTCAGCTCGCCCAGGAGGGAACATGGCTGCTGTGCTCCAGGGCTGCTCCTCACGGCCATGGTGGTAAGTGGGGGCACTGGGATGCAGGTGTGATGCTGATTTGCACTGAAGTGACAGAAACAACAATTATGGCCATGGAAAGCTTGCCATGCAATGGATTGCTATTACAGGCTGTCATATTTTTCTGTTCAGACGGATCTCCATATATGACTGTTGGGACGCACTGCCATTTGCTGACCTCTCAAGGCCGTACTGTGCAGAGTCCATTGAGGATGCACATAATTGCTTACCTGAGCCTGGGGGATTTCCTGGATGGGTTTCCTCAGTGTATCTGTCTTCCCCAGCTCTGAACAGAGCATTTCCTCTGCAGAGGTGTTGTCCTAGGAAACGCTTTCAACAGTGATTAGCAGCCCAAGTAAACATCTGCAAAGTCCATGTAATGCCAGCAGCTTTGAGAACTTGAGCCATTGGAGCATGGTCTCTCACCTGACACGGCTCCATCAATGGCAGAAAAGAAGCACTTGTGCATATAGGTGAGGTGCCCACGAAAGCAGAGTGTTGGCAGCACTGCTTTCTGTGCAGTGTATCACAGGATAACCACAGCCCTGATTTCTTTGGCCAGAGGTATCACCCAGTGATGCTGTGTGATAAAAGTGGTTCATACACATTCACACCAGCCTTCTGCTTTGTTTTGACTCACTTCCCATATTTGTTACATGATAAGACGTTTGCTCCCTGCCTCACAAAGTTCCTGGTGCTTTAGATGTGAAAAATGCTGCAGAAATGCTATCTGTATGTGTTGAAAGCTCAAATCATGTATTGCTTCGGACTGAGGAGCCTAACAGCCTGCCTGCACATGGCCTATTTAAAGCAGTGTGTAGACAAAGCACAGGAATAAGTTTGTGTTCCTGTATGGCTCTCATTGAGCAGGCAGCACCAACAGAAGGGAGCCATCCTCTGACTACTCAGTATTTATGTACAACATCGGCAACGAGGCTATCAGGTTCTTACTCTTAATGTACTTATAAATATGTGGATCTTTCATATTTCTTAAGAAATATTGTGCCATTGTGTCTTCCCTTTGCCATAGAACGAGGAGGTGATTAAAATGAAAAACTGCCTTTTAGCCTGTAGTGACTTGGTTGGGAAGATTATTTGTGCATATTTTCCTTGATATGTGAGCTGGTGTATATTATATAAAGCACTGTAACCATGGTGGTGATTCCCCTGTTTTGTTGCTTTGCTGCAACTTTTCCATTCCCTTCAAGCTTCGCAGATAAATTAATATTGTTTCTGACAGCTTAAAATGTTATATCCTTATTAACCTTTAAATTTACGCTTTAAACTGGCCTTGTGGGATTGCATATGGAATGATTTAGAAGACGCTTGAGAAAATTTTCTTATCCAATAACTAGTTTGAATAGTTATTTTCTGTATTCATTATCAGATGGAATTACTGCAAGGAAAGTTGTTAGCGCTTGTAGTGTTGCTGGAGATTAGGAAATGATAATGTTAATGCTCATTAGTGCAGTTGTTATGAGGAAAAGAAACAGAAAATAATTTCTTTTCTGCCTTCCCACAGTATATTGAAATCCATGGAGTTTGCACCACCTGAAAGCTCTGGTGCGCAGGTACTGAATCTACTTTTCTTTTCTTAATTACTTCAGCATTTCAGTTAATTAACCACAGTTTCTCTTATAACTTGCTCGCGTTAGCACGGGCAGCTTCGTGTTGATGCTGAGACATGTGGGATGATCACTGCTTTCCTGATGATCTCCGTGCAAAAAGCTGAGCTGAACATTTTCTGACTGTTAGTTTCCTTTAAGCAGCCGAGGAGAAAGAATGGCGTTTCAGCTGGTGCTGCACTGGGTAACCACAGTGGTGTGCAGTTGGGTCTTCTAAGATCCTAGAGCTGATACGCAGCTGAGCTGGGTTTGCATGCATCTCATGCTGGTAGTGCAGTGGGCAGGGACTGGAGCATTGTAAATGCTAACCTTGAAAATAATGCTCCCAAATAAAACAGACCTCTGAGTGTTGGGAGAGCAGGAAAAAAACCTCTGCTCTCCCAGTGAGTTACTCTCCATAAGTTTGTATGTTTTGAATTAAGCTTTTCCTCCTGAAATCTGAATGCAATATCAACCTATGGGGGTTAATTTTCAGTGTGCTTTCTGATGGCCGAGGGTTGGCTGTTTACAGGAAAGTAAATGATGGCTTTCTGTGACTGAATTTCTTTTTGAACAAAGCGTTCAGCTGAAAAGCAGCATTTCAAGGAAATGCTTAGCTTGGGTCGCCTGACCTAGAAGAAATAAAATAATCTGAACTCCTATTATAATCAGATTAAAAGTAGTCTACAGCTCTTAAATTGAAAGCACGCCAGTCTCATTTCAAAAGAAGCAAGATTAAGTAAATGTTCCATTACACATTTCCAAATAACGCAGAATTGATGAATGATTTCCACTGGAAATTAAACAGCGCATCTCTACTACAGCTCATGTAGGAGCGCTGAGTGATTCCTGCAAATATATGCATGTTGAATTCCCCAGCTGCGCTCGTAGCAGAGATGAGCACTTGTTTTCCTCTTCTGAAATCCTTTTAATGCCCGAGCGAGACTTTTAATGCTGTTGGAAACAAACCTCCCACTTTGATTTTCCTTAGGATGCATCGAAACCGCTGGAGGTGCTGCTGCTGGAGAAGAACCGCTCGCTGCAGTCCGAGAACGCCACGCTGCGAATCACAAACAGTGACCTGAGTGGTAGGTTGACACCGTTTTCAGCTCTTCTGCTATGTTTGTGTCTCATAAAGGGAGGGAGGGTGGAATAAGAGGTGAGAGTGTGAGCTAACGCACGGCAGGAAGACGAACAGGCAACAAGAATGCTGAGAAGTGTTTGATTTCTGCAGTCTTATAGGCTGGATAGTAAAGTAAAGCTCGGAGACCTTGGAGACTCTTTAAAGGTTAGGAAAGAGGCGTTACGGGATGTACCGAGTGGTAGTGTTTGAGGCTGTCTGCTGTTTTGGGAACAAATTCATCTGTGGCACCAGAAGTCTCTCCCCCCACGCACAATGTTATGCAAAATGTTTGCATGCAGAACACAATAATCTTCCTGTCTGATACATTTAGATATATTACCAGCAGGTCAGCTTGGAAAAACAAAATACTGTCTTTTTAGTGAAGTGTGTTTGCTGTTCAGCTTTCCTAATGTGGGCTTTTTACATTTTGTGTGCACATTTTTTTTAAATGGCAAGTCATGGAATTTCCAGATACTCGAATGCTTATGGTTTTTGCAGCTGGAAGAAAGTTATAAGTTGCCTCTGGCACTGGGATTACTGAATTCTGAAGAGTTTTATGACTTAACTGAGTGATCTTGGTGCATCCACCTATTGGTGATTCCTTTATTCAAATTGGTTTGTTCCAAAATGTAAATGTTTGCTGCATTTGGGCTCAGTCAGGTCCAATGAGTAATGTCTTGAATGAGAGACATCAAAGGGACTTGCTGTCTGTAACTGCATTGATTTTAAATGTGTAACTGCACTTCATGTAATTGTTCTAGTTTTAATGTCTGTAAGGGGGATTCTCCAGGCTGCAACATACAAGAAAGGTGCAAACATGAAATGCATGTTGTTTGTTTTGGGGGCCTTGTTTGGCTTATTGAAATTTGAATTATGGAAAAAAAAAAAAAAAAAGAAAAAAAAAAGAAGAAGAAGAAGAAGAAAAAAAAGAAAAAAACCAAAAACAAAACGAAAACAAAAATCCCACCACCACGTCATTGGCCCCTGTCAATCTGCACTTTTTCCCTTTGCGGGGCAAACTTTGCATTTTTTATCTTGGTTTTTCCCTCTTTAATCCCCCATAATGCATTATGTTTGACCTTCCTTGTAGGGTCAGCCAGGAGAAAAGGGAAAGACCAGCCTGAGAGTCAGCGTCCTGCAACCTTGCCGGCTTCCCCTCCTTCTCAGTTGCTCCGCAACGCGGGGGAGCAGGCTTCCAATACTAATGGTACACACCAGTTCTCACCAACGGGTTTAAGTCAAGACTTTTTCAGCTCATCCCTGGCAAGCCCCAGCTTACCCCTGGCCTCCACAGGAAAATTTGCACTAAACTCTCTCCTCCAGCGACAGCTAATGCAGTCCTTCTACTCCAAGGCAATGCAGGAAGCAGGAAGCACAAGCATGATTTTTTCAACAGGTCCTTACAGCACAAACTCCATCTCTTCCCAAAGTCCATTACAACAAAGTCCGGATGTAAATGGCATGGCCCCATCTCCCAGCCAGTCAGAAAGTGCTGGGAGCATCTCCGAAGGCGAGGAGATAGACACGGCCGAAATTGCACGTCAGGTGAAAGAGCAGTTGATCAAGCACAATATTGGACAGCGGATATTTGGACATTATGTGTTGGGACTGTCGCAAGGGTCTGTGAGTGAGATACTAGCCCGGCCAAAGCCATGGAATAAACTGACTGTGAGAGGCAAGGAGCCATTTCATAAGATGAAGCAGTTCCTGTCGGACGAGCAGAACATCCTGGCTCTTCGCAGCATCCAGGGTAGACAAAGAGGTAAGCGCTCACCAGCCGAGGGACTTGCCCAGTTTTCCTCTTAATTGCAAGTGCAAAAAGGTGAAGGTTTCTCTGTTTGAGGCCATTTGTGCATTGCTGCTGTTTTACCTCGATCAGTAAGGTGCAGAAAGCACTGCTTTGTAGCCCTGCTTTTCAGCACCATACAGGTTAGTGCCTTGGCTGATGTGTTAGCCAAGACAAGGAGCAGGGAACACTGAAATGGGGAGTGAGGAGGGGTCTCCAGCTGCTGCTATCAGACATACATGGCAGTCATTTGTTCTCTTGTTTATTGAGACCGTGTTTTTGTTGTGTCTTGTGACAAAATATCGTAGGTGATGCATGAAGTGGCTAATTAAAAGAGGAAGCCAACTGAAAGCAGCTTTGCTTATGTAGGGTGGTGGTTTTAAGAAATAACATATGCATTTCATTGTGATTCATCTTAAGCAGAGACTGAGATTTACATTTAGAGAAACTGAAAAGTAAGTTGTTTACAGGCTAGAACTATTGGAAAGGACAGGCAGGATTTGTCTAGATTTTGTTTAATTGAAAGTGAACGCTGTTAGATTTATAATCTGCTCTTCCTTTTGATGATTGTACTTGAGGGGATTATCTGCCCATCTTTAACCTCTTCATTTTTGGTATCTCTAGACATTTATTTATATCTGTCTAATCTCCTTTCCGAACGTAGCTGTAATCTTTATTAACAAATCAGCCAGCCTTGCTTCTTCCAAAGTAGCCAGCTCCTCCAGCGCTCAGACAGAGACTCGAGGGTTTGAGGAACGCTTGAACCCTGGTCTCTAGAGACAGGCTGCTATCTTCTCATGTCACACAGCCCATGATGTCAGAGCAACCATCCCCTGATTGTTTTGTTCTTACCAAACTTGTTTTTCAACAGAGAATCCAGGCCAGAACCTGAACAGACTATTTCAGGAAGTACCGAAACGAAGAAATGGGTCTGAAGGTACGTCACAGGCAGGTGTTTTTCTTTGCAGTCAATACCTAGGAAGTGGAGTGTGCTTTAGCTGTGTGTTTCCTTAAAACTGTGCAGTTTGATTCTGGCCTGGAATCTGATAGAAAAACAGACAGTAAGTATAAAACAAACCATGGGTTAGACCAGCACTTTGCTTTTCTAATTCTGCTGCTGCTGTACTAACTTAACCCTGTTTGGATTCTTCTCTACTCTCCTCCTTGCTAGATACACAGATAGAGAGATAAGTGATAGAAGTGGCCCTAAAAATCACTGCATCTACTGAAACGCTCTCTTTGCTATTCTTATTATTCTAGAGCAGGAAAGTTGCACAGCTGTGTGTGATCCAAGATTGGTCGCATTCTGCCTGTGCTCTCAGTTTTCCTTCTTTCTCCTCATGGGGTTTATGTTGACAAATACACTTGAATCAGCTGTTAGATTAGCGTGGTGCTTTCCTTAGTATGGTGTATGGAACAGACTGAACAGAAAGACGGGAACATCAGACCAGTAAAATATCATTCAAATACGAACATTTTGCTTTGTAGTAGATCAGCTGCAGAATTTGACTTTTAGCCAGACAAAAATAAAAACTGCTACCTCAGAACCCCTCCGTTGTTTTGATTTCAGTCAGAAATTACGTAGCTTGCTTACAATTGATAATCTGATTAATGAACAATGCATTGGTTTTCCAGTCTTAGGAATTTTCCCTTCTTTCTCTCCCCATAGTGGTTAAAAGAAAAACAAAGGGAAAAAAAGAGTGAACAAAACACAAGAAATGACTGAAAAGTACTTCAGATGGCATTGGGGCTTAAATGACTGGTTCTGTTAATGTACCAGCTTCTAGAAAGGCACAGATTCATTCTGATTTCCTGTACCCAGGTTTTTGAAATTCTGTTCTGATCTGAACATGCACTCATCCAACTTCGCCTGGTAGCTGATGCAGTTTTCAAGGATGGTTTCTGAGCTTCTGTTTTTGTCTTTATTCCTCCCCCTTCCAGTTCTTTTCCCTTCTGTTTCCATTCCCCCTCCAAAAAGAAAAGGAAAAAAAAAAAAAAAAAGCAGGGAAAGGGAAGTTAAAAATATCGATTTGTGTGTGTTATGTTTGAAAATGCAGTATGACACATAGCTCTTCCTCTGGTGATGTTACTGCTCTCATCATTCAGTGCAGCAGGTGGACAGCTTTCATGCCGTGAGGATTTTTCCTCTGTTGTGTTAAGGGCGTTCTTGGTGTTGTAGATGTTGGTAAGGGTTTGATGTGAGCTGCTGTCAGGTCATGTGGCAGCACATTAGTATATACTGCCTGCATTTGTGTTTTAAAAATACAAACAAACAAGCAAATAAAAGTTTTCCCAGTGTCATTAGTTTTGTTTTCCTCCTCAGGTAATATAACCACACGAATCCGAACCACAGAGACTGGCTCTGATGAAGCCATCAAATCCATTCTTGAACAAGCCAAAAGGGAGCTGCAAGTACAGAAAACAGGTACAGCCTCATTTTGTCTCTCGCTCCTTTTATTTCAGAATTTAATTAAAACAATTACCATGAGCTTTCTGGTCAGTTAATTATATTCTTAAAACCTTGAATGTAGGTTTAAAGTGCCTTTTAAAATTTCTTTATTTCGTGGAGCGGTTTCTGTCTGTAACGCAGCCCAAGATAAGTTAATGCACATCACTGCTTGATGGGGCCTTTGCTCAGCGCTCTCCCTTTCAGGCCCCAGGGACGCATGGAGAGAGGGAGCTGAGGGGATCTGCACGAGTGAAGGGCACAGGGTAGCCTGCAGTTACCAGAACCTCACTGCCAGCTTCCTGTGGACATTGTGTACTCAAATTATAACACAGGCAAATTCCAGCACGACTTCATTATTTGTTACAGAATGTGAGGATGTAGGACAAGCTAACAAGTCCAAAAACAATTTTGTTTCCTAAAAATTTAATGAATGTCTAACATCTCGGCCTGAGATAAGTTTAATTTCTCATTGTATGCTGCCATGTAGTTAATATTTCTGTCTACTCCATAGCTCTCTCAACTTTAAAAGAATTTCCAGTACATCTAGAGGGCTGGTGCTAAAGTAGACACTACTTTGCAATACTTCTGTTTGATTTTCTTAAAAAAAATTAATGCTGATTTGCAGTTTTGGATTTTCATCTTTCAAATGAAAACGAAGCTGATCTCATGGCAAAATGTAAAATACTAGTTAATACATGATTTAAATGAGTTTATGCCACTAATGATGACGTACAGAAAAACATGGGCTGTGTGCAGGAAGCTGGAAGCACGTTGTTCAGTGTCATCTTTTATCTGAGTGTGTTGGCCTTCCTTTCTAATGCTAACTCAGCCTCCAAACTCCCTATGAAACCAGAAGGTAACTCAGAAAAGATGGCCTCGCTGTCTTCTCCCACTTCTTAGTTTTTCATGTACCTTACAGCATGTGCAGGAAAGAAGGTAGGGAGGCAGATCTGGAAATGTGTTCAGGTGAGGCATACTGCTAGGACAGTCTCACTTCACTTTGAGGTCTCTGTTTGCAGTTGTGGGATTCCCGAGTGCTTCACTTTTCCCATTCTTCATAGAGCAGCTTTCAGAGGAGCTGGTTTTCAAACACTGGCATCCTCAGTGGAAAACTTAAACAATGAAAACAGATGCCATTGCAAAGCTTTCATATTCTGCAGAGAGAACCATACACCCATGTTCCAGGCTCTGCTCATCCCCTAACTGCTGCAGAACGCCAGTTCACCGCTCAGTACCTCCTTTAGGTGCTCTCTCTTCCCATGCCTCCATTCTGGAGGTTTGAATGGGGCGCAGAGTGGTGTTGAGGCGTCAGTCCTGGTTTTTGTAGAGATGTTTGTTCCAGTGATTGGAACCATGGAATGAAGAAACAGGAAGCAGAAGCACATTTGGGCTCGTCAAATTAAATAATGAAGCCTTTTACTACACTTCTTGCTTTGTGGTAATGTGTGTTTTATTTTTGGAGTTAGAAAGATTCACCTTATTTATACTGTAAGAGGTTATTAATAGGCCACCCAGGTGAATGCAGCTGTGCTCAGCTTTGAGTGCGTTACGATTCATTTGTGGAGGTAGAAGTGAAAGGTTAAATAAATCTGTGCATAGAATCACAAAATGTTATTGACCAGTTGGGGGTGGGAGAAGAAGAGTCGAAGGCTTGATTTTCAAAGGCATTTATTTGATAATTTTTGCAATGGTGGAAAGCATGCAAATGGTAACAGACTTCTGCAGTTGGGTCAGTGTGTACAAACCTCCAGCCTTTTGGCAGTGATAAAAATTTTCCAGTGCAGAACTTTGGAAATCTTACCTTACTTTGGAAAGTGAGAATCTTTGCTTAGTGAAAACTCCCTCCTTCCCTCCCTCCCATCCAGAAATTTATTGCAGCCCTTTTTCATACAGGAAAATATTTACAGTAGCGCATGTTGAATATAAAGCATGTTCCTCTGTTGCATTTAGTCTTTTGGTTGTTTTTCATAGCTGAGCCGGCTCAGCCGCCTTCTGCATCTAGCAGTGGCAATTCTGATGATGCTATTCGATCCATTCTGCAACAAGCCCGACGTGAAATGGAGGCACAGCAGGCTGCTCTTGATCCTGCCTTAAAAACAACACCTTTGTCTCAAGCTGACATTTCTATCCTGTCCCCCAAACTAGTATCTACATCTGCAATGTCTTCAGTTTCCAGCTATCCTCCTTTGGCCATATCCCTGAAGAAACATTCATCTGTTACTGATTCCAGTATCTCTGCATTGCAGAACCTCTCTGGGCTCAAAAAGGAGCCGCAGGAGGCGCCTGTTTTAGAGCTTCATGGAATAAGTGATTCTGCCCAGGGTATGTTGAGGCATGTTAAAAATGAGTTGGGACGTGGTGGTGTTTGGAAAGACCATTGGTGGAATACTGTGCAGCATGAGAGAAGAAATACAGCTCTTCCCGAAGATATAAAAGTTGAGGAAGCCAGTGGTGGAAAAGAAAAGGTCAGCAATCAGACTAGGCCAGATCGTAGCCAGCTCCAAGGACCATCTTCTTCAGAGTATTGGAAAGAGTGGCCAAACGCTGAATCTCCGTACTCGCAGAGTTCTGAATTGAGCATGACTGGGGCGAGTCGCAGTGAGACGCCACAAAATAGCCCCCTCCCTTCATCCCCTATCGTGTCCTTGTCCAAGCCATCCAAACCTTCAGTTCCTCCTCTGACACCTGAGCAGTATGAGATTTATATGTACCAGGAAGTGGATACGATAGAACTAACGCGGCAGGTCAAAGAAAAGCTAGCAAAGAATGGCATCTGCCAAAGGATCTTTGGGGAAAAGGTAAAGAATTGGTTCTCTTCTTACCCCGGTGTTTTGATGTGCTTTGTGCTCAGTACGCAGCTCGGTTTGCCACAGCCGTGCCACAGAATGTGCACATGTGTTTTGTGAAAAAATGTTTGTTTAGGATGTTGAAGGAAAGCGTTAGTCCTGCTGCTTTCTGTGAAGTGCACAGGTTTTGTACAAAGACTGGTTTCAGTTCCTTGCAATTAGAAATCGAGCCACTGAGTTTAGAAACATGGAAAGCTGAAGCAGATATTACTGAGACTCAATATTTCATGCTTAATGTAACGAATTCGTGGAATATCTGAGTAATGCCATTGTCGTGACTGGGGAGTCTTAAATTTGTTTTGGTTGAAGATTATGGACATGAGAGCATTTTTCCTTATTATTATTTGGAAATGTGCACAGAGTATCTAAACAAACACATGGAAAATCCCTTCCATCTCTTTAGTCTGAAGTCAAGAATTCCCAGCCGTGTCGTGTATCTGGTGCTGGGCATCTCAGGTGTTTAAGCACGCCTGACTGCAGGTGCAAACTGAGATAAGGAGCACTGAATACATGGAGCTGCCAGCCCCTGACCACCAGAAAGCACTTCCAGGCTGTGAGCAGTGGTGGGCATCCAGTTTTCCTTCTTCCTATAACAAATGGATCTGATAGTGCCAAAGGAGCTGGCATTGCCCTGTTACATTTCACTAAATGCTAAATGAAAGGCCTGATCTCTCGGGGTCATTAAGGATCCTGTGACACTTTTCATTAAGGGTGAATTTTAATCCCTCACCCGTGCTGAGTTCCAGGCAAATGAGTGTTGTGCCTGTCTGAGCCCCTCTTTGCTGTGCACGGCTGTGTTCTTGCGTACTTGCTCACATGGAGCAGCTGCTGCTACAGGTGAAAACACACATCGTTACGATTCACACCAAAGAAATGAACCAAATACAGGCCTACTCTCAGAAGTCCCAATTATTTTCGTTTGAGAACAAAATGCATGACAGTCATGTCCTGTTTTATCTACCTCTGTGTGCTGCTGTGCTGTGCTTTTGCTGTTAGAACCAATGAAAGTGTTTGACAATATGGAAAGCATGCAGATCTCATACCATCCTTTTGCTGTTTGTACTGCTGCTCGTTCAGGAAAAAAAAACAATACAAAACACTCTCCAGAGCAAAGCAGTGGCAAGGGAAAGGCATCTCCATCCCAGTGCATATCCGTGTCATTTCCAAGTTTTGTTAATTGTCCACGTTAAAATGACTTGAGCAGCGTAGCAGTAGAGGAAGCTGCAGTGACTTACATTACCCCCTTCAAAGCAAATGTGTTAACGTGCCCTTCTTGGTTGCTTCACTTCAGGTATTGGGGCTGTCCCAAGGAAGTGTCAGTGACATGCTCTCCAGGCCAAAGCCATGGAGTAAATTGACACAAAAAGGCCGAGAACCATTTATTCGTATGCAGCTCTGGTTGAATGGTGAGCTGGGACAGTGTGTCCTGCCTGCACAAGGGCAGCAACAAGGACAAGGTAATTAAAATTCCACTCTGTTGTTTGAGTTGAGGAGGAGATCTTTTTAAGGTTGCAGTGAGCAGGACTTCAGCCATGCGCTGGGAAGGGCCGCACGTGGCCTCGCATCCCAGCCGGCTCCTAGGGGTCTCACTGGGAACGCTTACACAAGGAGCCCTGGTTTCTGCCTAATTGATAAGCAGCTGTTATTGAGTTCCTAATGAGGACGATGTTATGTAGGCATGAACACCACACGTAATTCAAAAAAATTTGGCCAAAGAGCTGGAAAATGTTGCGCGCTGTTTTCTAGTGGTGCATAGGGGACTGTTATTGTTCCTAGGAGAATATTGATTGCTGTCTCAGGAGGTGAGCTAGAACTCAGCTCTGAAGGGGGAATGCTCTGTTGCAATTATGCTTTTATTGTGACTCTCTCTCTTGTCCTAATACCCACTGATGCAGAAAGGCCAGGCTAGAGCTTGGCCTCGGTTGTACCCTTATAATGCCACTGACTTCTATGAGCAGTGTGCCCTTGCTGAGCTCAGCCGTTTGCTATTTGTTGAGCTGCTTACTGTTTAGTTTGTGGTTTGGCATCTCCTTTTATTGTTCCCTGATTTTCCTCTCCTCTCTTATCTAGTCCTTCACTCTGTGACATCATTACAGGATTCCCTACAGCAGGGATGTGCAAGCTCAGGTAATCAGCTGGTTTCAATGATTTGCTCTGAAATAATTCTCTGTGCTTTTGTTACATTTCTTTTGCTTTGATGCTGAGAGGTTTCTCTTGTTTTGTTGTATCATACAGGAGACCCTTCCATTTTTTTTATTAACCCAGTTAATTCCTTCTTCCCTCCTTGTTGCTATGGCAGATATAGGGAATACACATATTTAGCTGCTTATATTAGATGAAGAGACTCCGTCTGATCTTAGAGATCCTGAGCTCTGTAGGATTTTTTTTACCGTAGTTCAGCTTATCGGGCTGACATGTGACAATGGCTGTAAAACAAGCCTTTCATTTGTAATGCGATCTGCATACCCCAGCTGGCATATTTTTCCACTTCCATTTGCACAAAATCTGCTTTGTTAATTTGAAGGTGGGGAAAAGCCCACGTTACGTGTTTCTGCTCCGAGCTTCGTTTTGTATTCTGAGCCAGCCTCGTTTCGCCCTCCCCTTTCCGTTTGCAAAAAAGCAGATGTACCAAAGAGGAGCGTCAAAGAGAATGGAATTGCTAAAGGTTTTACAGCGATGGCCACGGCATAGGAAGGAGCAGAACAGCTGTGTTCCTGCTGTTAGATACCAAACTCTACCCACACAGACTTCTTAGCAATGATCTGCTTCACTCATGGAAACCACTCGGGCTGTTTTGTGCTCCAAAAAAATACTTGTGCCATGCTCCGTGCCCTGTATGTGAGAGCTGCAGTGTTTCAGGACACAGAGCAGTGTGGGTTATGTTGTTTTTCCACCTTCCTGCCATTCTGAAGCACTCCTTTTCTGGAGCTTGTTGGGTTTATTCTGAATATCCCAACTGAACTGTTTTTCCTCGCTACTGGGAAAATATTTTGCATTCTAAAAGGTTTTACTAGAAGAAAATCTATGCTGATATTCAGTCCGTGTTCTTTCTTAAAAAGAACAGTTGAAAAACAAACAGATAAAAGCAAAAATACGCCCCTGGAAAAAAAACAAGGCATGGAAACAAAACCAAAATGGGAAAAATTATTTGCAGACATGGAGCTATTGTTACTTACAGGCAAGCATTTAGCAAACGTGAAAATTTCCTATGACATTTTATATGCTGCTGTTCATTAAGTGTGCCATTGACTTCGTTTTGTAGCATCAGTACTGCGCAAGAGTAACCGTTATAAATGCCTAAGACAGCATGGAAAATATGAGTAATTAATTATAGCCATTTGAAGAGGAATTTGAAATCAGAGGAGCTGGGAAAAGGCTGCATTGTTATTGCTAATCATCATATTTATGACTAACTGTAATTATAAAAGATTGAAAGACAAGCCCAGAGCATTAAAATCCGACCACCTTGGGGATCCCCAGGAGGATCACTGGTAGCTGGGAGTGATTTCCTTCAGGAAGCTCAGTTGTGCTGCCGTGATATTTTGCTCCACTCCCACACTCGCAATCTCGTTTGTCAGCTCCTGCCCTTGAGCTCATATTCTGTGACGTGGCGTGTTCCTATCAGCTAATAACATCATATTATTGATGATCGCTGTCCTTCTTTCCTTAAAGCAAACTTACAAATGAGAAAATGGGTTCGTGCCCTTTTCTTTCTCCTTCCCGATGATTAAAAACAAAATTGTTTTACAAGACCTTCTTTTCTCAGCACCTCTCTGTGTATGGAGGAATGAGGAGGTTGTGACACCGTGCAGAACAAAAGAGCAAAACCGAGATATCTGAATGAGTAATTGGTAATTTTCCTTTATTAGCAGCTCTTCTGTAATTAAACGCACAGCAAATAGTTTGGAAAAGGTAAAAATAATTATGCATTTGTGAGAGATCCTCCACTCCAGGGCAGAAGGGAGGGAAAAAAAAAAGAAAAGAAAGCCAGCTACAATTTTCAGGTCTTCTGAGACATTTCCCAGGAAAATCAAGGCAGAAAGGGTTGCATACTTGTAATTTTAAAATAGAAATTAATCAGAACAATTTTAAAATGAGAAAAGGTCTGGAGCCTTTTCCGTGTGTTATAATTGGCTCAGAACTTGTTGAATGCATGAAGGGAAAGAAGTGAAATTAAACTAATACATTCAGTGGCTCCTGAGTGCTTTGCCAAGAAGGTCTTCAGTGTGCGGAGTGTCAACACGCATAGTAACGTCTCCAACTTTTATTAGCTGTGAGTATTTTCATTACTGTTTGGCACTATTATATCAAACCAGCAGGATTTTCTGGATTTCTGACCCAGTTAGTTACGCTTCCAGATCATAAGGTTTTGATTAACACCTCATTCATGAAAATCTGTTCTTTTGTCCGGTACTTTTCCATAGTTACACGTGGACAGATGGACCCAGCAGCCTTTTGTGTGTAATGATGAGTGGAGAAGCATTAGATAGATATCATTAGAGATAAAGCAGGCTCGTTTTTCTTTTCTGCAAGCTGTATCGATGAATTCCTGAAATCAGTCTGTACCAACATTCCAACCAGATGCATCCATCTGCGTTCAGTGCCTGTGACCTCAGTGGAGGCTTTGGCGATGAGAGGAGCTCTGTGCAAGCTCTGGTGCACGTGTGGTCCCCCAAAAGTGGTGTCCTACCCCAGGTGGCCAAAAGTAGTATCCCTGTGCCTTTGCTAACATTTCTTCTGTGTGCTTCTTTCCACCTAAATGCTCTAATGCCCTTGGGTAAATCTGCCTTTTTAATGATTTATGTGTCAAAAGCATGGACCAAATCACATGGAAAAAGAAAAAAAAAGTTGAATTAGTGTCACCCAAGTGCATCAGCATTTTTTCAGGATGAATTTGGCCCTTATTTAGTTGCATTACTGATGATGGGGCTGGGCTGGGTTTGGAAGGTGGCCACGTGTCAGGAGAAGGTTTATGTGCTTGGATGTTTTTCTGAATACTTGCTCTGTATACAGCCCGTATTGGTTCGTTTTATTTCGGGATCCCATATCTTTAGTGAGCATCTATAAGACACTAAGAAAATGTTTCTGTTGCTGTTCATCTCAAAGCTACTCCCAGGCAGGCTGAATTCTCATTTTCTTCAGTGCATATCCTCTGTGAAGGACATACACTCTCTATATACTACATTAAAGACTAGCAAATGCTCAGCGGGATGAAGACGTGCCTTTTTGGTATGTGTTTCTGTAAGGGTCGTCTTATGACCTAATGTGGAAATCTTCATTTGCCGATACAGCTGCGGGTGATCTCAGGGGATTTTGAATTTCCCTTTTGTTTGTCTTCCTTTCTGGGTATCATCCATCATTCCTAACCTCATGCTGCTTAGCAATGGTAACGCTCATGGGAGTTGAAGAAAGGATTATAGCAGCATAAAATGGGGAGCTAATTAGAGCTCGTTTCAAAATCAGAATCTAGCTTGAGATAATTGTGTATTATCTGGTGATTTTAAAACCCGAGATCTACTGTATTGAGATCAACTGAAATATGCATAAAAGCTTTATTTTCAACATAAAACATTTGTAACAACAGGGAGATTACTTCTTATCATCTCTTGGGAAAGAAATCTGAAAAAAAGTCAGAGTGCAATCTTATGTTTTCCTGCAGTTATGATGCTAACAAACATATTGGGAAAGGATGATGGACCCAGGCATGCCTTACGTTTTTATTTATGTACCACTCATTCCTGCAGCGTCTCTCAGCTCAGAAGCTGCCAGGTGGGCAGGAAGTTGCTGTGCACCAGGTAGCTCTTCCTGTTTGTCTGACAGCAGGATGCTGTGACATCTGCTGCTCTGAGAGAAATAAAGTGCAGGGAGAGCATCTCAGGCTTGCAGCCTACATAGGGGATGATTCTGAGATGCCCATCCTGACACATACGGGGCTCTGTGGCACATGGAGGCAATGGAGCATGGGCTGTGGTTTCTTCTTTGTACTGGTTTTACTGGTTTGTTTTGCTGATGCTCTGGGCTGTGATGGGGGGTCAGGTTGTGGAGCTGGGCACTCAACACCTGGAGGTGCCACCAGCAGTTGAGTTGATGGTGCTGCTGGATTTTCCCCAGTGTGAGTTGTGCTTTGCTGGTGAATCGGAAGGAAGAGGGAAATTGTTTTGCAGTCATTTTGCAGGGCAGCCTGAGTGAATAAAATTGTGCATGGCATGAAATGGTTCTGGTTAATGGGAGAGAAGAGGGATCACGTGGCTCTCTAATAGCTGAGAATTCCTAGGCTGGATAGGTTTTGTCTGATGACTGGTTTTGAGTCTGCGTTCAGTTGAGAAGTTACCTCCTTTGGTGCTGGATGCAGAAGTTAGGAGCTGAAGCACAAAGCCGGCTGAGCGTTGTCTCCATAAGCCCCAAAACACACTGGTGTGCACTGGGGAGCTTTCTGCATTCTTTGTGTGGGGCTCGAGATTGTGGTGCTGCAGCAGTTGGCCCTGGCTGTCTTGATTTCAAACCAAGGGGTATCAGTTGGCTCCTCGTACGGGCAGCTGTTGCAGTCTGTCTGTAGTGCATGTGATCATATTCTGTGCCATTTCTCTGACATTTGGACCATGAAAACCTTCCTGGCAACCTTTCTGGTATCAGTAAAGCTGGGAGAATTGCTGTCAGGGCACCTCGCTGGGACCTGGGAACGCAGCATGAAGTCAGAGCATCAAGTTAGTTCTTAACGTAACATTGGATGCCATTACTGGGCATCACCTGCTCACTCCTGCCTGTCGCCTGGGGCTGTCCTGCACCCTCTGCCTTGCATCCATCAGGGATGCTTGATGAATAGTTGGGATGAGGGGAAGAATTCCCGTCCTGGTTGCGTTCTTTTCTGCACACTGATCCAGCCAGTGATTAAACTTGCAGAAGATGACTCCATCCTCATTGTGGTCATAGCTGTACTATTATAAAAGTGCTAGCAGAAAATACATAATCGTGGAGCGAACACTATTTTCTAGGCAGATATTCCTTGCGGCTGAATTACAATGACAAAGCACCAACACACTTTGCACATTAATATGGCAAGAGGAAACTCCTGCTGCATTCTGAAGACAAATTTAATTCACTCTGAAGCATGGCTGTGAGTTGGTGGT